CTACTTACATTAAGTCTACCACTTTCCATCATGCTTGCTACACTCAAAAGCATATGGCTACTTACATTAAGTCTACCACTTTCCATCATGCTTGCTACACTCAAAAGCATATGGCTACTTACATTAAGTCTACCACTTTCCATCATGCTTGCTACACTCAAAAGCATATGGGTTTTTACATAAGGTCTACCACTTTCCATCATGCTTGCTACATTCAAAAATGTATGACTACTTACATAAAGTCTACCACTTTCCATCATGCTTGCTACATTCAAAAGCATACGACTACTTACATAAAGTCTACTACTTTCCATCACTCAAGTTCTTTGTGAGAAATGTTTCTCAAAGCTAAAGATAATAAAAACAAGTTTGAGGAGCCTGTTGACAGCTTAACATCTCGAAACCCCCATGTTCGTTAGCACTGAAACTAGCATTCTAGCTGAGACACCAGACAGTCAAATCATAGACGTGCTTATATTATGAACTCACACGGCTGCTGGTGTATTAAATTCAGATTTTCAGTTGCTGTTAGTACAAACAAACATTGGATACGTACATGTATTATTTCATATGTGTTATGCACCTATAGAACATATATAAAGTGTACATTTATATATAATGAGGAACTATACTTTTACACATGAGTTTCGTATACCACTGAACATGCTAATATCATAAGTTTACCATTTTAACTTAAGGGTTAAGGTTTGTATCTAAAATGAACTCAAAACTATTCTGGCAATTTATTTTATTTTTTGCAAATTATGGATTCCTCATTCGTAATCTGATAATATGTAAGTACAATATGCAGTGTAACTGGATATATTACGTCACCAAAAAAATTTCCTTATTAAATCTTTGCTAGTGCCCCCAAGGGGCACCGAGGCTGCCAGTGGTTATACATATGTCGTAAAAACAAGTAGGAAATAATTTAGAATTTTGATTATATAGATAATCATATAGAAAGAATTAGATATGTTTTAAATCATCGTTATTATACTTTTATAGGCATCCGCAAAACATATTAAGGGGAGGGAGCAAGTGCATTCTTTGTGGACGTCCCTTGTATACTATCTTTTTAACTGAATATTTCTATATGCCGGTAAGACATGATCACGAAACAGAGATTAAGAACTAGTGTACCTATTAATTAAACCCTTTCTTGATTCTTATATTTTGGATGAATATGTAAGAACAGTTATAATCTTCCGGTTGTATATGCCATCTAGTAAAGTTATCTATTATGCATAAGGAATAACTATAAAAAAAATGTTTTTATTAGAATCGCTTTTAAAAATGATGTGTACTAGCGTGACAGTATTGTTACGTCTCTGTTCGTTAGTTAATTTTCCGTATAATTTCTTTCCGAAGAAACTTTAGCAATATAAGTCCTTTCTTAAATAAAACTGGTTTATTCTTTCTGAATACAACTTTGCAATACACTTAATTTCCACAGTTGCGCTATAACAAACGCTATATTTCACAACGAACGTCTCACGTGCTCGACTCAACAATACGTCTCTCTCTATCAGCAGTTCAATTACACATTGTTGCCGTCACGTCTTCACCGTCTTATATGTACAAGAATACCGAAATCTAGTAAACGCTCGAGCATTCACGAACCTTGGAGAACATGACGTGTTACTAGCGTCATGTGACCCCCGCTGTCGCAACACTGCCCCTTCCTTAGTATTGTTCGTCCGGAACAATAGCCACTGGCATTAAACCAATAAACAATTAACAATAACTTAATTAAATGTACAGAATTTACAAACAAAAATTAAAATT